CAACTGGTTAAAGAGACAGTTCACCCAAAAATTAAAATTTATTTACTTTCACTTCACTTTCATGTCTTCATGTTGAACACAATAGAATATAATAAATAGAATAAATGTCTAGCTGATTTTTTTTTCCATCTATACAAAAAAATAAAAGTCAAAGGGCTCCATTATTTTAAACCCACTGACTTGCATTGTATGGACAAAAACAGTTGAAACATTCTTCAAAACACTTTCTTTTGTGTTTTTCAGAAGAAAGATAGTCATGCAGGTCATGGGTGAGTAAATGATCAGACTTTTCATTTTTTGGCCTTTTTTGTTTTAAAGCGTCAGGAAGTGTAAACAACAACAAAAAGTCATTTTAAACTGGCCCCTCAGACATGTGGTGTTTGTCTTGGATTACTGAGGTATCTACATAATTTACAGCTTAGTTTGCAACCGAGTTAAGTGCCAGTTCATCCAGAGATGAAAAGGTCAGTTCGCAGTGCAAAAAAGGTCTCACTATGATCATCCGTTCTTTGTCATTTCATTCTGATCCTAAAGGCAAAAGTCATCAAATGTATCATTTGAGATTGCGAATCTGTGCACTTGCTTTAGGCACTGATGTTAGTAGGCTGGATAATTTGCTGTCACAATTGATTTCTTTTTAACCAATCACATCTATACTCATTCCTCAACCACAGTCTACTGAATAGATATTTCTAGGAAAGGGGGTTGTGTTATGATTCACAATAATAACGGCTGTAAATTCAAAGTCTTTCTAAACCTAACTCAACATACAAAGCACTCTTTTTCAAGAAAAATAAGCTCTGACCAAGTACACCATCAAGACTGTAAATGTTACTAAATGAAATTGCAATATTTCAAGGTGTTGATTACAGCAGTCACAGCTGGAGTTGAAGGTATAAATGTGACCTCCTCATCCCATTAAGTAACAGCAAGAACAACACACAACAAAAACTTTTGTCCAATCTAGGTCAAGCATGTGAAAGTGAGTGTCACTATGGTCACAGAGGGTAGGGTACACAGTGAACCAGAAAAGAGACTAGATACTGCCTAATACTACCTTCTCTTCATTCAGTCTATGATATAATCTAGGTGGGACCGGGTTAAATAAGCTTGCCATGATGAACAATGGATTATACATAATAAGTGGCTTACTATTGTGCTTTTGAGGTTTATGCCTAAAGTAAGCTTCTCTTGATTTATCCTTTCATACAATATGGGGCAGATTACCACTGAAGTTGAGGGATTTTTTTTAAACTTCACTTTTACATTAATCACTGCTTACTCCCCATCAGCATAGATCGCACAGATACACAAAGTTGCATACACTAATGTTCAAAAGTTTGGGTTAGTAAAATTATTATTATTTTTATTTTTGAAAGAAATACTTTTATTCAGGAGGGACACATTAAATTGATCAAAAGTGACAGTAAAGATATAATGTTACAAAAGTTTTCTACTTCAAATGAATGTTGTTCTTTTGAAATTTCTATTCATCAAAGAATCCTGAAAAAGAAAGAAGAATGTTGCTTGAGCAGCAAAATCAGCAAAATAGAATGGTTTCTGAAGGATCATGGGACACTGAAGACTGGAGTAATGGCTGCTAAAAATTCAGCTTTGCCATCACAGGAATAAATAACATTTTAAAATACATTATAAAAAAAACTCACACCTCTTTCAAGGTGAACATTCAAAAATGCCTAGGTGGCATAACTGTGATGTCATGTCACAACAAAACTGTAGAACAGAGTATCCCTTTAGACCCTGATGACTGACTTTCAAAGTCATTAATGTGTTTTTTTTTTTCTTTACAATCACATAATATCACATATTTTGACTATGAAAAGGCAGGTCAAATCAGGTTGGTTCAAATGTAGTAACACTAGGTAAACCCACTTAATATTTGACTAAATTCATGATTTGTATAAATTAAATTAAAAATAAAAACTATTATGAAAAAGATAATTGTCACATTTATTCTCGGTGCACGATTAAACCACTTTTTTTTAAAGTCCATAAATCAAAACATTTGTAGAAACTGACATCAACCATTTTCAAAGAACCTGCCACTTCAAACTAAATTTTTCCGTTTCATCATCTCAGACATCCTTATTAGTCACTGACCCACATAAAATCTCCTACAACATTCTACTATTTAAACAAAGCCCCAAAGAAAGATAGGTAAAGGCAGCTAACGTTACTACACGCACCATCTATTAGCCACTTCACTGACCAACAGTGGCCAATGCCTTAAGTTAAAAACACATATCAACAGAAGACATGGAAGCCACAAAAATACACAAACGTGTGCTGAGGTTGTAACTTGCAAACTGAAGCACCATCAGTCGATAAATTGACAATATGCATAAGAAAATCTGTCAACGGCAGCATGACATAATACAGACAGATAAGAGAGCAAACGCCTGTCTGAGCTGCACATTCAGTCTTTTACATTGATTCGGTTAGCAAGACGGATGAAGAATATAAAAGACAATATTAATAGTAGAAACCTCCTCGGAATCAGAAGTAAAAAGAAGACTAAGAAAAGATCATATATTGCTTGTCTCGTCCATTGCCAACATCTATTTCAGCACCACCGTGTTGTGTTAGCATCTAAGCTATGTTTGCCTGGGATTCCTGTATGTATATCTGAAAGACATATATTGATTCATTTATATATATACAAATATTATTGTTAAATAAAACGCACCTTTAGGTTGATATACAGCAACCTAAAGGTGCGTTTTATTTAACAGGCAGCATGACATAATACAGACAGATAAGAGAGCAAACGCCTGTCTGAGCTGCACATTCAGTCTTTTACATTGATTCGGTTAGCAAGACGGATGAAGAATATAAAAGACAATATTAATAGTAGAAACCTCCTCGGAGAAAGAAGTAAAAAGAAGACTAAGAAAAGATCATATATTGCTTGTCTCGTCCATTGCCAACATCTATTTCAGCACCACCGTGTTGTGTTAGCATCTAAGCTATGTTTGCCTGGGATTCCTGTATGTATATCTGAAAGACATATACAGCAACCTAAAGGTGCGTTTTATTTAACAATTTATATCTATAAAGACAAGTCCTCTGAATATCAAGAGCTAATGATTATTTAGCACAATAGTCAAATGGTCCTCACCGGTGTGCTGCATGCTCTGTCGTTACTGAAACTGAAGCAGCTTGTCGAAAGGTCTCGCTTTCTCCAATTTATGTCAGAGACTCAACAGTTCGTCAGCATCTCGTTGGATCTAAGCGTAATTTGTCGTGAAAGGTTACCGGTGTTTAACGTTACTCCTTTTCTTAGACGAGCGTTTGGTTCTCTTGTTGGAGCGGCGTCGTAAAATCCTGCAAATCCGCCTGGACACATCATCATCTGTTAAAAAACATATTGCTCTTCCTTTCCGCGAGATGATCAGCACACCTTTCCGCCGGTGAATGTAACGTCAGCGTATCCACATATGTGTATTTTACATAATTTACAGACTAACATCCGTCGCTGCGGCGCTCAAACGAGCACAATCGTTTCTCCTTTTTCGGTTAAAGACAGAGACACACACACACGCGCTCGCTCGTACCGCGTGCTCCAACTATGCGCGCCGCCGCTTCTGTCTGACCACGCGAGGTCGCGCATTGTCCCAGTAAATGTCTGATTAAACAATGAGATTTGGGCATTCTGATATAATTAATTTACATTTTAATAGGGTTGTTAGTTATTAGGATAAATAATTTGTTTTCAATTCAATTCCATTCAAGTTTATTTGTACAGCGCTTTTCACGATACAAATCATTGCAAAGCAACTTTACAGCAAATTAAGTTTCTACAATATTTAGTAGTAGCTTATCAGTGGTGACTGTCAGTTAATGTACATATGGCAGAAATGTACGGAAAAATCAATTAAAGACGTAATCAAACAGACGATGAACACTATTAACAGCAATTATTATATGATGCAATCAAACTTATAGCAAAATGTGGTAGTTCTGTATGTTGTTTCAAGGTTGGCATCATCTGAGGTCCTCATCTTTTTGGTTTTTCTATTCATAGCCCGATCCTACAATATCACTTGACAATTCATGTAGCCTTAATTATGAAAATACGTATTCTAATATGCGTGATGTATAAATCAAAATACATTATATAGCCTAACTAAAGAAACAAATGTTTTCCTTTTTACTTGTGTTCCTATGCTAACTAATTAGCCAGCTACTCAGCGCAATATTTCAATATGATAATAAAGTAGGACTATGGTACAATGAATAAATTAATGTCTGAGATGTACTCGTGTTAAACAAGGATATCTCCAACTATTTTGTTTTTAGTTACAGATATCTCCAAATACTAGCAGTTATTTTCAATATCAACTATTTTTGTTTCACCATACAGACTATTTAATGGCGCTTTACTAATATTTTTTTTGACAGACAGACAGACAGATAGATATAGATTTACTAGTTTTTTTAAATACTACTAGCCTAAGTACTAAGTCTGGAATAGGTACATAGTCTGAAGTGTTAATGTTTTAACTATATGTGATTCACAGATCCCATGGCATAATTTGCAGTTTACCACCAATAACAATTGAATAGACTATTAAGAAAGTGTCTAGTAAATTAGCAATACTGAGAATGGAATAATACCATAGACTGTATGAATAATACTATTGACTAATTTAATATAGATACTAGGCCTACAGTAGTTATAACTGGAATGCGTGCTAATATCTCACCCAAATGGTGTAGTATAGAAATTGAAAAACATAGCCTACTAATCACTAATTGGATTACTTAGTAATTAAAAACAAAAAAAGTACTAACATAAAAATAGGTACTAGTTGGTTTTAAGGAATAATATTGCTTATAAAACTTAAAAAATGAAAATTAAATAAATAAAAGTTTAAAATACTTTTATAATCGTATACAAACTGCCATTATAGGTTCCATTTCAAATTCTTCCTTCTCTGCTGCCCTCTTGTGTATAAGAACAGTAATGCCGCTGTCCATGGCTCTTGTTTGGGTGGTTTTAATTCGCTGACAACACACGTGATCACGAGCTTCTGTAAATAGCTTTACTGTGTGCACGTGAACAAGTCACTTCCTTTGGAACAAACTACATCATTCGCCAAAACCACACTGCGTTTCGGTGGCTGGAAAAATAGGCCATTTCACACAGCCAACCAATATGCTGGTCACACACAAGGGGATAAAGATCTGTGAGAGTTTATTATGAGATAAGATAAACGTAATCCTGCCAAAAAAGGCTGTCCTAAATAAAACTACACGAATAACCTCGATGTTTGGTTGATTTCTATCAAAGGTTGTCTATACAGTGCATTTCATTAGTGCATCATTTTACAAAGAACAAAAACTACACATGAAAGAAGAGTGGTGCAACTTAATTGAGATCGAGTCTCATGACACTGATCTTATTACAAGCATGGATTAGAAATAGGTGACAATTCTTAATGGACTCTCTGGACATTCTTTAATGTGTATATAATAATCTGTCTTTGAATGTAAATTAATATAAATGCCATCCTTCAGAACAACCACTAGGCATAGATTTTATACAGTATGAACTTCACACATTTTAAACTATATATAGAAACTTTCTAAACATACTATATAAATAGTTAAAAAAAGATTTAATGCGCTAGTATTTTTTTTTTCTTCATAAAAAACAGTTCTTCTTTTGTCAATCACAACAATTCTAATTCCACCGGACCACACGACTGCCAGTTATATTTTCATTTCAGTTTTTTTCGTCACCTTGAAGCAGACGGCTCTGGAAGGAAAATCCACTTCGGACCATCCAAGGAGTACAATTTTTAGGCAGCTGAATTGTGATCGTACGTAGTGCTCCTTGATCCTTGTGTTTGAAGTGTTCCTACAGTTCAAAGCCCCCGTGAGGCCTTAAGTTTCTAAAGGAGCACGCAGAGGAATGCAGCCATCCATCTCCAGAGACTCAGGCCAGCCTTCATATTTATTACTACTTTTACTGTTCTTCATTCGCTGAAAGAAAGAGAAAAGAGTCTTGAGCTGCTTTAAGAATTCAAAATGGTAAATTAAAAAATAGAAAACTTTCACAGACTTTTTCATTAACTGTTCCCTCCTGGTGGAATGACCTGCCGAACTCAATCAGATCAGCTGAGTCCTTAACCATCTTCAAGAAACGACTAAAAACACATCTGTTCCATCTTTATTTGACCCTCTAACTCTAGCACTTTCTATTCTATTTTAATTCTACTTTATCTATTTATCTTTTTTTATATAAAAAAAAACTAACACTAGCTTTCTATTTTTTCTATTCTATCTACTTGTTTTTCATTTTGTGTATATGTGTGTGCGTTTATGTGTGTGTGTATATATATATATAAAATACCTTGCTACGTGTACTGTGTTAGGCTAACAGACTTGTCATTTGCACTTACATATTGTTGCTCTTTTGTTAGTTTTGATTGCTTCTATTGTCCTCATTTGTAAGTCGCTTTGGATAAAAGCGTCTGCTAAATGACTAAATGTAAATGTAAATTATTAACCCTTCAAAATGCATCGATAGCTAAACTTTACCCCCACTTTTTACTGTTGCTCACTCAGTCAACTCAGCTTTCCAAAACATCAATGAACAGCTCTATTTGCAGTAAAAGGTTCTCAATGCTCTCAAATGTGCACAAATCGCCTGGCTATTAATTGTACATGGGCTAGAATGAAGTGAGACATTAAAAGGCTTTTTATCTGCCATTTTTGCTTTAAAGAAACACTGCAATTAATGTGATGAAAACAGTTAGCAAAACGTTTTAATCCAAAGCGACTTGCAAATGAGGAATATTAAAAGCAATTTATTATACAAGAGCAAATCACATCAGTACGCAGTGCCAAGTTTCAAGTTGTTTTCTTTTTTCTTTTTTTTTAGCAAATGGCTTTGATTGGGGTTTAAGTTAAGTACTCGCAGAAAAACGAGCATTTTGGCGCATTTCATGAAGGTCATGGAGGTCTCGGTGGAGGCTAGAAGGTAAAACCATATTCAGACAGAAAGGTTTTGATGTTTCTCATGTTATAAAGCTCAGTGTGGGTAGTGAATTAGAGATGGTCAAAAACTACACAGATGTTTCTGTCGTGGTTGATTTTTTGGAAAGTTTTAAACAATTTTAGAGGATTTATCCAAACACAGGATATCTACAGATTTACATCAGGTAAAAAAAGCAAAAGCTTGTCTGATACTATGACAGACTTCATCAGTTTTTGTCAGAAATGTTTTAAGATGGGGCTTAGCGAAGGGTCAATTAATTACCTGATAAATGATATATATATATATATAAACACGTATATTTTTAATTAATTATAACTATATATAATCACTCATTTTATCCCTTAAATCTCATCTTTGATCATCAAAATGAATAATTTCTTCTTGCCTTAATATTGCTTGAATGGCTTGAACCAAACTCATATTGAACCGTGACCCCAAAACCAAGGTACGTACCGAACCGTGACTTCTGTGTATCGTTACACCCCTAAAAAAACAAGTATAGAGAGACTCAAAAATCTAAGCTCATATGTGGACCTTTATAGCTTTATCTATTAATTCTTATATTACATATTATCCATACATATATTAAATATATTTAAAATTATATTATATAAAAAATTGTTTAAAAGCTTAATAATGCTTATTAAACTAAAATGGCTCATGTAATGTATTAAGGGTATAATAATTATATGTCATATAACATAATTATAATAAATAATCATCATGAAAGCCAGATGATTTTATGTTTAAAAATGTTTTACTATGTAGTGACCTTTACTTTGGAGCAAGAGAAACTGGGGGAATGACTGTGTCAGAGATGTGCCACTTTGCTTGAAGCTGATTAGTCAAATTTCAGTTTGAGATCTCTAAACACGAACATAACCTGCCCCCAGAGCAGGTTAGCTGTGGAGCGTAAGTTACTATGACGATGAACATGATGGCTAAAAGCCAAACCACTTTCCTGGTGCCTAAAACCCAGAGTTGGCACAAACTACACTGAAACCTACCTGGCTACCCAGCTAAACCGGCTTCATGGAACAGGCTCCAACCCTACTCCTGAAGAGCTACTGTCCTGCAGACTTCAGTTCCAGCCCTGCTCCAACAAACCTGCCTGTAATTGTAAAGTAACTCTAAACACCTTGATTAGCAGGTTCAGGTGTGTTTGATTGTGGTTGAGCTGAAATCTACAGGATGGTAGCTCTCCAGGAACAGGGTGGAGACCTTGGCGCTACACAATGGCAAGAGGCAATATTGGATTAATAGCCATATATGTTTGGAACAAAAACTGATTCCAAAGAATTATACAGGGTCGTCTACAAGGCAATATATCAGGATTGTAATGCATTTTATGTATCGTTCTCTATTACACGCAACGGTAATTGATATTAATAGACTTTGGCTTGACTATGTTATCAATCAGCTAATAATGTGTTACACTAATGTTACACAAACCATGTTCCCTTAATATGCTAGTGATAAGAAAAGCCCAGCCCCACAAGTTGATGGGATTGGATACATGTTTGTGGCGGTAGGAAACAGGCATTTGAGACATTCTTTGGTAGCAATGGTGTTGACTGAATGACTGATGAATTTGGTTTGTCTTTAAGCATATTAAAAACACCATACAGACATCTAAACAATCTTAAAAACTTGATTTCACAACAGGGGGTCTTTAAAATTGAGCTTGCATTTAAAAAAAAATGCATATTTCTTCCCATAAATCCTACCTGTTCAAATGGGCTTTTATTTTCTATTCCTTTGGCTCCAACAAACACCCAGCTATCCCTGAAGCTCAGTTCCTTTGCTGCTGTGCTCCCCAGCTCCATAAACAGCCGTCGAGCCTCATCATTTAACCTGTGAATGGGTTTAACAATAAGTAAATCCAAGAAATAATTGAGAAAAAGAGCCCCAGATATGCTCTCGATTTAGGAGCAATTAAATCACAGAACATTAATCTGAGTTTAAAACTAGAGTGCAGAAATAAATATACAATACAACAATATATAATACTCTTACTTGGTGGCCGGGTCATCAAAAGAAGCAACAAATACTAGCGTTCCTTCATGGAGAGGCCGAAGAAACTTCAGCAGCTCTGAAATGTCTGTGGCAGAGAGAGAGAACACTCATTTTAAGATCTGATGGACCACTTTCATGAGAAAACAGCGGCCTAACCAAAGTAATACATCACCCCAAAGGTCATCTCACCTCCTGCCCACATATCAAATGCTTTTATTTCCAAAGCATCTCCATTAACCCCTGAGAAACGGAAATTGACTTGTCATCAACAATGCATATACAACACATGCAAAAATATATCAGTACAAAAGAATGAGAGATTTACCATTTACTAAGGCAATATTGAGCCCTCTGCCAACATTGTTTTTAGCACTGCTGACAAGACTGTAAGACCAAACAAACAGAAGTCAATAAGCATCTCAAAACAACATTTTTATTAGAAAGACACTTAATTCTATGGTAGAAGTTAAGGGAGGATGAGAAAATGGAATATGAACAAAAGATAGGTATGGAAAGAGAAACCATCGCCTACTTGCATCACGTTCCACAATAAGATTAAGAGTCTGGTAGTGATGGCCATGAGAAAAACAAAGACGATATGATGAATACCAGTGGAGACAGAACAAGAAATAGGGAGGGAGGTTGCATGCAGAGCTTAGTGTGCAGTGGTGATCATGCAAGCTCATTAAAGAGACCAACATTGACTAAGCAGCAGCGAAAAGGCCAGGCGACTTGCATTTTATCCTCCAGACAGATTTTGGGGCCGATGACATTGGCAGCACCGGAGATCAGCCGGAACGCGAGATGTTTGGGGGGACACGGTGCTGACAGGCCACATTTGTACTTGTGTGGTCGTGGTTCTGCAAAACAGCAGGTCATTTCATTGAATGATTAGATTGCTTAAATGTTTCTTGTGGAAAAATGCATGTTTTTAATGCAAAGTCATTTTACCTGGAGTGGGCTCTTCTTGTCCACCTATGAATGATAAAACATTGTGAATGACCATCAAGCCACTGAGATTGATATTAGATTATATTTTATAATCTAGTGGTCAACTGATTAGATCACCATGGTCGATATTCTGCATTTTTTTTCTATTTGACTGATAGAATGTAATATATATTTTATTGCCGCAATTATTATGCTTGTGTCATTTACAATCATTAAGCTCTACATACACACTATCTGTAAAAAGTTTGGAATAATTATGATTTTTTAAATGTTTTTGAAAAAAAAGTGCAAGGCTGCATTTATCTGATCAAAAATACAGTAACAACAGTAATTTTGTAAAATATTATTACAATCTCTCTAACACACCTTATTTATGGTTTGAAGTGGGAGAGGTGTCATGGTGAGTGGGATTTATGGACTTTTCTATTGCCTTTTTATATTTCTTTGGAGAACAATTGATATCCAAATTTAATATTGAATATATTATATTCTGTTGCGAAAGGAGCTAGGTTTGATAGGTTGTATATAAGAAAATCAAAAATGAAAAAAGTTATTAATACTGATAAATTTCCGAATGGTTTTTCAGACCATGATATGGTGACTTTAGATTACAATATAGTACAAATTTCAAGACCTAAGTTTATTGGCATTTTAATGTAAAATTATTATAAGATAAAGATTTTTTTTTTTTTTTAGATATTTTGTCATTTTTGGGAAATTTGGAGACAAAGGAAAAATTGTTTGAAAATCTGACTCAATGGTGGGAGTTGGGAAAAGCACAGATTAAAGTTTTTTGTGAACAATTTTCTTATAATGCTACTGCTACTGTGAAGAGAAATGTGAAAGGATTTGGAGAATGAGATTAGACGACCAGATTTTTTGCACCGCGGGATTAAACTCCCGAATAAAACGTGGTAGCGGTCGGTCATTCTGGTGTAATTTGAACGGGAGCGGGCAGTCTAACAATATCCCGTTCCCGACGTCCATTGATTCAGAACAGCATATCTGTGCTTTATTCTTATTGACCACCGGTACAGCCTGCACTCGGACTGTTATGCACGCGCTGCACGCATGCTTTCTGCGTCACACGTTTTATTTGCGGGGTCTGTGCACAGCATGTGCATAACGATGCTCAGAACAGGCTGTATCGGTGGTAAATATACGGCCCTCAGACAGAACAGGCAGGTTGTCGATGAGTGACAGAGCAGAATAAGGATAGAGCAAAGTGTGGATGTGCTGTCCTTGAAGGACATTCAACTTGGTTTTGTATATATTTTGCTTAGCCTATAATTTTAAATGACAGATGTCGTATTTATTTATTTTTCTCTGTGACACTTTTCCTACTGTGTTAACAGAAAAATGTCAAACGAATTTAGTATTTTGACAAGACGAATAAAAATAGCTAATAGGCTATTTTTATACAACCTACAAATTTTTTTTTTCTCTCTGCGACACTTTTTCCTATTGTGTTGTAAATGTTAAACGAATTGTATCCTGACAAGACTAATAAAAATAAGAAATAAAATTTTTACAAAACATTTTTGTTTTTACAACGTTTTTATTTTCTCTGACACTTTTTTCCTACTGTGTTACATAAAATATTAAAGGGGTCCTATTATGCTCTTTTACAAAGTCTTGATTAGGGATGCGCCGATCCGATATTCATATCGGGTATAGGCTCCGATAGTGAATTTTTCAGAAGTGCTTCTGAAATACGAAATGTGCTGTGATTGGTTAGCTGGGCCAGTGTGTGTTGTGATTGGCTCCACTCTGCGCCTGGTCGGGAAATGTCACGCCCCTTACCATAGCCGCCTGCGAGCTTCAGTGTAAATATGGAGTCAAAATCAAATCAATTTGAGCGCGATTTAAACTCGGATGATTGTAACCACTCTAAGTTCGTTTACCTTGGGAAAGCTAGCGTGTCTTCGAAATAGAGATAACACTCGTTGCCTTCTCTAGTGCAGCTCAACCAAGTCTCGTCCCATTCGTTGGTATTTGTGACATCACAAATCCCGGAAAATATGCGTTGTAGTCCAAACGAGTCGTTCGTTGTAGTTTTTGAAAAGTGATTTCTGTTAAATAAAATATCTACTTTTGAAGTGGACTTTGAGCTTTGTAACTTTGCAGATCTTTTTTATGCTCAAACAACAACATTACAGACTAACTAAAGTTGAAAAAGTGAAAAAGCATAATAGCACCCATTTAAACAAATTTTGTGTCTTAAGATCATTCATATAAATTAGTCAAAGTCAAAAGTCAATAAATTCAAGACTCTTGACAAGACGAATAAAATAACAGACTACACTTTTATTTGTTAGCCTCTCTCTCTTTCTTACAGTAGCAGAAATTTAAATGTGAGATTCTGGAAACAAGATCTAAATTTAGCGGGAACTGTCGGGATGGGAAAAAAATTATTCTAAGTGGACAGTGGGTTAACAAAGAGTGAATATATAGCAGAAGCAGGTGGGTGCGGAATATAACCTTGCGGGAGTGGGACTAAAAAAATAGAAATGTATGCTTCATCTTAGAAGAAAAAAATGGAACAATTACTTCAGATCCAATAGAAATGAGAAAGATAGAATTTTACAAAGAACTGTTTGGTAATACGGACTGTGATGTTGGATGTATGGACCAGTTCTTAAGGGATCTTCCTAAATTAAGACCTGAGGACAAAAGTCATTGGACGTAATGATTTCTTTTGATGAACTTTCAAAGGTGGTGCAAAGGCTTTCTACAGGAAAGTCACCAGGAGTCTATGGTTTACCAGCTGAAGTTTTTTTTGTGTTATCACTCCTGCCAAAAAGTGCCGACCTAGGGTTGTTGAAGAATTGGTGCCCAGTGTCTCTAATGTGTCTGGACTATAAAATACTGTCTAAATGTTTGGCCAACAGACTTTTGCATAAAAATATTTTGCATTATGTGGTGGAAAGAGAACAAACTTACTGTTAATTTCATTTCTTGGATAAAATTACTGTATGAAGGGGCTTCAGTTATGCTTAAGATAGGAGGTGGCCTTAGTTGTCCAGTACCTGTTAAAAGAGGAATCAGGCAGGGATGTCCTCTATGAGGACAACTTTATAGTTTAGCCATAGAACCCTTACTGTGAAAGCTAAGAACTGAGCTAAAAGGTTTAATGATACCAGGTGATAATTTAGGGTTAAGGTATTCTGTGTATGCATATGCTAATAATATAAAAAATGTTATTACTGGTCAAAATGACATTAAAATACTCTGTAAAAACTTTATGAAAAATCCTCTTCAGCTAAAGTAAACTGGACAAAGTGTGAAGGGTTTGTTGTGGGTTCTTGGGTTGATACTGGGCCACCTCAACTTCCTGAAGGACTAAAATTGGGAAGGGAAGGTATTAAAGTTTTGGGGGTGTTTTTAGGCACTGATCAGTAAAAAGAAAAGAACTGGGAGGGTACACTGGAAAAGGTTGTTGCCAAGTTGTCAAAAAGGAATCGGCTATTAACCGAGTCTTAATTGCAAATAATCTGACTGCATCTATATTATGGCACGGACTGAACGTACTTGAGCCACTGGATGACTTGATTAAGAACATTGAGAGGAAATTGGTGGATCTTTTTCTGGTCTGGTCAAAAATGTATTCCTGGGCCTGCACTTTATCTACCAGTACATGAAGGAGGGCGAAGTCTGATAGATGTACGAATGCCGCATAAATCCCTTTCGATTACAAGCAGCAAAAAGACTGTTGTATGAAGAGAATGTTGGGTGGATTAATGTTGCTTGTGCTCTTCAATGGAAAACATCTGGTTTATTGTATGATAAACAGCCTTTTTTATTAATGAATTAGATCTGAAGGATTTAACATTTTTATAAGTCAATGATAATAGCTTGGAAGAAGACATTTTTTATACACAGAGGAATTTTACAACCCGAGGACTGGATAATCCATTAATAAGAACAAAGGTTTTATTGTCTAAATTGTCAAAAATTGGCTGGGTATACCAAGTTGGGGGATCTAAGAAGTGGTGATGGCTGGAAAACAGCTGAGACAATGCAGAGCGTTACTGGGTTTCGATCTCTGTGGCTTCTGAGAAGAATAATGGAGGAGGTGTGGGCAGTTCTACCAGGTGCACTGTCGCAGGATTGGCATGGGGACTATAAATTTCCACCCATTAAAGTTCCTGCTGTTGTACAGGAAGATAATGAGGATGCTGGACATTCAGTTTTATCATTTGAGTACCCAGAGTTGGGAGTTTTTCAGGACAGCTCTTTTTTTTTTTTAAGAAGAAAGAGCTGTATGAGTAAAAGTCACTCATCAGAATGTGCTAAGAGGAGTAAAGACTTGGAGGTGGTCAGATATGTTTGGGACAAACGTTAAGGCGTGCTGGAGGTCTTTGTGTAATTTGCCGATTGAGAAGCGTATGGCATACTTGCAGTGGAGATATAGCTACGAAACAGACACGTGGCACACCTGAATCCAGCAGTGGGGAAAGAGTGCATATTTTGTGGAATTGAAGAAATGGTGAATCATTTGTTTATTGATTGTTTTAGGTTGAAGGGACTTTTTAATTTAACACAATGTTTTACAAAGTTTGGAGAAACATTTTCTTATCAGAATTTTATAAGTGGTCCGAAATACATTTTTCAGGAAAGGAGGAAAAAATGTTTACTGAATTTTGTGTTGGGGTCAGCTTAGATGTCTATATGGAAAACTAGAAAAAGTAAAATGTTGGGCATGGGTCCAATAAATGCTGAGATGGTAATAAAAGGGATGATAACTGCTAGAATTAAGTATAAATATTATAAATTGGTCAATGATATTGTAATGTTTTCTGAAATTTGGTCAGCGGGAGGAGTTCTTTGTAGAACTGGAGAAAATTAAAAGTTGATTTTGAATTTGTAGAAATGTGTTTTAGGAGGTGTAATTGTCTGTTTTTGTGAAAATATTGTATATTAAAGGAAGTAAAATCGTTTAATAAAGATATTGTAAAGCCTCTCTCTCTCTCATATATATATATATATAAACAACTGAATTACTAAAAGTTTAACTAGAATTAAAATGAAAATGGAAAATATAAAGAATCTGAATGATACTAAAACATCAGCGATCGACCACCAATACATCCACTAATACATGTAACATTCTTACCACTAAATAGCATCCGCATAAAGGAGTTCCCATCCCCTCCTAGCATAGAATTTGCTAGAAGCCAGGTAAAGCCCAACAGAAGTACCAAAGCAACAGCACGCAGTGCCACTGGAGAATACAGAGGAAGGAAATAGCATTTGAATGCCGTTGTAAGAAGGAAACTTCACTAATACATGAGAAGCATGGAAATGCACAGACCTGCAAACCTCATGGCAGACAGATGTCAAAATCTGGTCAGCAAATAAGATTCTGTTTGAAGTAAATGAGAACATTAAGTTCGTAAAGCAGACATTTATGATAAAGTTAATCATGAACAGAGCATAGGTTTCCAAATTAAACCAGGGAGGGACATTCTAAAAAATTAGATTGAGTAGCCTGTCATTCAGGAAATGTAGCTCAACCAAAGTTTTAAACATACTTTGAAGCAAGCTTGATGCCTATTTCTGCTTAATATTTGTATTTTTAATAGCTGGCTGGACGTTTACTGGCTAATATGTTTTAAATATATATTGTTTTAAACACAACCCACTTATATGACATTAGAGCTGTTAGTCAGTTGGGAAGCAAACCTCCCTGGAATTGATACCTAGACACCAGCTTCATACTAGTCTGCTTATTTTAAACAAGCAAACTATTTGGAAATCGGATCACAGTCATGGAATCGGAACACACGTTACACACATGTATTTTAAAATAGAAATACCGTCTAACCTGAAATCTACAGTGACCCTGTGCAGCAGATTTGTGAAACAGATTCTCCCTTGTGGTTTAAATCAGTCACGATTAATCTAATCGCGTTCAACGCAGCACGTTCATCTTAAAAACAGTGTCGACTAAATTAGTCGGCAACAAATATAACGTACACTTAACGAGCATACAACGCCGTAATAAAAAAATATCCTTGTTCGGTGTACTCCAGAAGCGTGCATTTGTTTCACGCCAATTCCAATGCCATTCTTCCGGATTGGCACGTGATTCTTGTGCTCACACCAGTATGCAAATATCATCTCTTATGCTCCAAATGTTTATTTAGTTTAAATGCAAATTACACATGATCCAGGCAAAATAGTATTATTTATATAAACAGATAATATGCAAGTAAAATAGATGTGCATAGTTCTAGGCATTTTTTATAATGTAGGTTTAAGACATGATAGCAGAACGACATATTTAAATGTACAATAAAAAAATATGTATGAGTGTAAATCTGTCAATGGCAAAGTAATTAATGTAATCTTTAAAGTAATTTTAAAGAGTTATTTAAAAGAACGTAGTCCGGAACCTTTCTCCATCGGTCGGTGTTTAGTCCGGAATATAACGCACATGCATACTACTGTCATTATGATGGCCACTCTTATTAAAGCTTTAAAACCAATCTTGGGAAGGCAGTTGGGAAATACAGCAAAGGCAAGGCATTTTATTTACACAGTATGTCCAGAGACACCTTGTAAATATAAATAATAAAACGAGATTGCTTATCAACGCGGCAAATTAGCGTGACATTTTTCAGTAAGACAAGGTCAGAACTTGCTAAACAGCAGTTTAGTATTATTACGCATTATACTTGTTAGTTTAGCTCAAGCACTTACATATTTGTTAATTTATGTTTAAAATTACAGTGTGACGTTTAATCAATGCAAATGTGACTGACATGATGTTACAGGATGATTTCAGTGCTTGGCAGTGTTTCAAACCGTAGTGAGCTGCCAACGTAGACAACATTTTTGGCATTCTAGACATCAGATGTTGCTGTCTAGTAGGCAGCGCACTAGGTTTTGAAACGTGATGTGAGGCGTGCTCTAACGTGTGATGCTTAATGGGTCTGTTTTTGTAGGTCTTTGGCGCAGCAGTTATAAGTCAAAGAGGAAAACCTACATACACAGTGGGTTGCTGTCTTTACCTGGCAGCTAATAATGCCTTTCTGTCTGTATACTTGTCTCTATCTATCTATCTATCTATCTTATTGTACTATTGATTAGAAGAAAAAAACTGTCTTACGTGAGCTTAAAACTGCAGTCCGTAACTTTTTTTTTGGTTAAAAATGATCCGAAATCAATATTTGAGCAAGTACATAACCAGCCAGTGTTCAAAACTATCGCCTTACTTTAGCCCGATTCACAACGGGTAGCTTATAATTAGTGATGGGAAGCCGAGGCTTTCTGAACCGTATGAGGCTTTCATCAAATTGTGCCGAAAAACGGATCATACTCGAAGCCTTTTAACACAGTGCGCATTAGCGACATCTGGTGGCCAGACTGGGTTTTTCCAGCCTTTCTAACGAAACATCGCGGAGCAGAGGATGGTTTGAAAAAGTTTTTAACTGTGCCAACTCGTGTCATGCGTAGTCCGGTCAATGGATTAACATATTGATCAATAATATAAAATACACAAGTGTGTGATTATAATTAATAATTTACGTGAGTAGTAGCAAAAATATTTTGGGTGAGCTGTTCGGGGTCTCTGAGACCCCAGCTAGAACATGATGAGGTGTGACGTGCATTCAGTTTCTGTCTGGTGTTGAGGTTATTCTAAACTATTCTACTGAATCCCAAATAAGTGTATACACACACAACCAAGTCATTGTAAAGTCAAACACAAGAGTCATGCGAAGCGCTGTTTTTTTTTCAAACCAGCTGTCCCGACCTTCCGATACTGCATGACGTTCGTGCTTTGAAAACTGCGTCGGAGCATCGGTATCAAACGTCCCATCACTACTTGTAATAATGTTTTCTAATTTGAGTGGTACGGGTAGGTTTTCGCGGGAAATTCGAGCGTGGCACTGCGTAATTACGTCATGTCTGTAAACATAAAGAAGTTGTCCCGGCTACTAGGCTATGTGAGGATCCTGCAAATGGCGGATCGTTTATAGCCTTTTCTCACAGCAGCCAGAATAATTAAATGCATAATTTTGATGGTGGATTGTAATCCATACAGGATTATGTGTTTATGAAACACGTGAATGAAATTAAATTATATTCTTGAGCATGCCTCTGTGTCATTACATCACGTCTAAACATAAAGAAGTTGTCCCGGCTACTAGGCTATCGTTTATAGCCTTTTCTCACAGCAGCTGGTATAATTAAATGTATCATTTTGATGGCGGATTGTAATCCAGAAAGGATTATGTGTTTATGAAACACATGTTAATTAAATTATATTCCAGTTATAAATGTGCTTCTGATTACAGATAGCCTGGGATTACAAAGATTTGTATTTTAAAGAAAACCAGTTCGAAGGGAGCATAATTTGCTTTTTGGGTTAAAATAATTTGTTAACATGAAATTCGAAGAGTATGACAATTAGATTAGACTGTGCAGAAATTGAAATCTACACGCATATACACACTACTCATAGTCTCCAATGCTGATGTTGTTAACATTAATCATTTGAGAATAATATATATATTATTATAACAATAATAATAATTTGAACGGTTTGATGTGATATGAGCCAACCATCTTTAGATTTAATCACCATTGGTAGTGAGATTTATGGTAATGCTTTTTTCCTCAGTTGGTCAGAACAAACGTGGCAGATTTGTTACTTACTTGTTCAGATGGCAATATACCGTGACAATTCTTATTTGGGTCATATATTCCAAGACGTAGGCAAGAATCTGTGATTGCCAAGTAAATATCCACACCAGTGCTGTGACTGACTGCCACACATACTCTTCAGAACATTAGATTCATCTGTGCTGGAGGCTCACAACCCACGCAAGCTAGATAATTCCGCACACAGCTGCAATTCCAGGTTTTCAAACAGAGATGGCGACAAAGAGGCAAAACTTACGGACTGCAGCTTTAAGGAAGAAAGGAATTAATTGCGGTTCCTAATTCTCTATCACCAACTGTGATTTTATTTTTATTTTTTAAATTCTTCACCTCTGGCCCTACTCTGTCTTGAAGGGACATATCATAGTAAGTATGGAGTAACATAAAAGCATGTTGTCAAATACATCAGTTATTTCCACGATTATCACGCACATGTAAGATATCCACTGAATATTTATTCATTATGCTAATTCGCAGCCTCCTCCCGCCAAGTATGGAGGCCGGCATACTGTAGCATTGATTCCTGGAGATGGGATTGGACCAGAACTGCTTAACCATGTGCAGGAGCTCTTCAGGTTTGTCAAATCAATACTTTGCACAAATATAAATAGTGGCTTATAATAATGCATTGCCACATTAAGATTTTCCTGTTGAATCATAGGTTCAGCTGTGTTCCTGTGGACTTTGAGGTGGTGCACGTAAATTCTTCATCTACCAGTGAGGATGACATCAACAATGCCATTATGGCCATTCGCCGCAATGGAGTTGCTCTTAAGGGTCTGTACATCCAGCTAGATAATTGAATGTTATTTTTGTTCCTCTATTTTTAGTGAGATTTTAGATAACAAAATTGTTTTTAATTTTCATATTTTCTTCCAGGTAACATTGAGACCAACCACACAATGCCCCCTAACCACAAGTCACGAAACAATCTTCTACGGTAAGCCTGAAAGACAAACGATTACACAATTATTCTGTTTATACCAGCCCCATTATGCTGCTTTGAAAGTGGTAAAAATTGTTGGGCCCCTCAGTTTGAGTTCGATTGAGTGCCTCAGATTTGGCCTCCTGCCCATGACTGTGAGTCTAGGCCAATTCACCACCGTTCGCTCTCA